TATGAGTAAGTTTTAAAGTATGTTAATACATTTATTAACTTTATTTTATAAAATAATTATTAATTATTAAATATTAAAAAAAGAAAAATTAGAATATTATTTACTGGGTGAAATTTTAGGTGTAAAATGTATTCAGTATATATACTAGGGATATACACAACCATTTTATTGAAAGAGTTAGAAATTTTAAATTATTTGAACATTCTCTGCTCTACTTTCTTGACAAACACCCAACACTATCAATCATATATCATAGCTGATCTCACTACAGTTTTATAAAATTTACCTTTCAACCTCATTGGAAGTCACTATGGAGGCTTGAAAATCATTACTAATTTTTTTTTAATTTTTGATAATGTAACATGACATTTCTTTAAAGATAATTGTTCTCTGAACTTACATTAAAATAAAAGTACTTTAAGATAAAAAAAAAAAAGACTAAAGGGTTAATGTTATTATATAATTTAACAAGGAAAAAAACGCTTCTCTGGGAAAATTAATTTTAGTGCTCAGATTTTCAAAAAAAATTTTATCAACGAAAGTACTTTGTCACCAGACTCCGGGAAAATTATTGGCAAAGTTCGGAAAATTTTTGCGTTTTAAAATTTCAACTATTTTTGAGAAAAACACTCGCTAACACTAGTGTTTTATGACTTAAAGTTTGAAAATTTAATCGAACCCGCCCAAATTCTTTCTGTTCATTTCTCACTATTTTACGAGCTTTTTTTTTAAGTCCACACGCATGGTTTCAATATGAGCATTGACTCATTTCTGCGCATATGTTTATTCTGAACCTTAATTTGTGTAATATGTATTTTTATTAGTACTCTATTTTGCATTTACAAACAGCCCTATATTTTATGTATATATTTTATTAAGGAATGTTATATGTTATATATAAATTTGAAGACGCTTATAATTACATAAGTTTGTACATTATATGGTGTATGAGTCTATGAGTTAATCATTTAAATTGGGATTCATCTATGACAACTATGCTGTTTAACGTCAAATACAATTACCAATATTTT